GATCAACACGATGCTCACCACGATCACATGATGTTGACCCTCCTTTGCTGCTCCTCCTCCTTTCATCAAATTCATGTTTCCCCCCGCCCACCTTTGCGTTGTCGACTCTCGAGGCCATTGCATCCAATCATCTCTGGACTATCTATAGTTCCTGGCTCTGCTCCGACGGAACGTCCCGGAAGCGCCGACGGCGGTGGAACCGTTGCGGTGACAGCGTGAAAATTGAAATAAATACCGTGCCTGTGACAATGATCTCACTGGTACTTAGTCTGCACTCCCTCCCGCTTCACAATGTCCTCCACCCGCCTCTTCCTCTCTGCCCTCGGCGTAGTCTTCGGAGCCAGCGTGCTCACCTCCCTCTTCAAGATCCTCAGATGGCGTCTGTTCTCCCCATTCCGCTACATGCCAGGCCCGCCGAATCCGAGCTGGGTTATGGGGAATTTTGGGCGGTTGACGGTGGAAGTCGATTCTTTTTAATTTTGATTTGTATACTGATGGTTTTCCTTTCGTAGATGGCACGAAGTCAAGAATGGCAGGCGAGGTATGGGCCGACGTTCAAGTACCATAACTTTTTGAGCGTATGCCAGCTTGAGTACTATATATCTTTTGTGCTTGGAGACTGAGTCTATTGTTTACAGGCTACGCATCTGTATACCGTCGACACCCTCGCGCTGCATCGGATTGTTAACAGGAGTGACATATACCAGAAAGCTCCGCTGGTAAGGTTTCATTTGACTTCGTTGCTTGGGAGAGGTGCGTGCAGCGAGTCTACCGGTCCTCGTTTTTGTTCCGCGTTTAAGTATTCCCTAAATTCTATTCTATCGTTCTGATATCAGGGCTCCTTGCTGTGGAAGGCGATGAACATACGCAACTTGTACGTTATACAGGTTCGTTGACCACACTTTCCCTTGACGATATGATCTCTCCGCGATTTAGAGAAAAATCATGGTGGGTTTAAAAAAACTCTTCGCGGATCGAATCCTGAGATTCTTTAGAGCCCCGCCTTTGGTCCTTCCCAAATCCATGCGCTTACCCCACTTTTCCTTGACAAATCTCTCGAGGTGCGCCTCATCTCGTGTAAAGCTATCTATCTACGGCTGAAATGCAGCTAGTTAAGCGACGTGTGGGCACGACAATCTCAAGATGAATCGGGATGGGCTCGCATAGACGTCTTCGCTGGTCTGAAAGCCATGACTCTGGATGTTATCGGACTTGCCGGTGATACATTCCACACACACACACAATGAATTTAATTGCTGATCCCGTCTCCTAGGCTTCAACTACGAGTTCCACGCGCTTGACCCAAACAAACAACCTACCGAGCTTGATCGTGCGTTCAAGGAGGTGTTCATGCAGACGCAGGCGAGGCGTGTCCGTCCCACTGCGATGCTCCGAGCGCGGTTCCCGTTCCTTCGTATGTTTTTGGTGCGTGTATCCGCTTACAATTTTTCTGAGAGAACCAAGACTGACTGACAATTTCATGTATGAATGAATGGATGGATGGATGAAACAGCCTGCCCCCAAGAAGCTGCTTGCTGCGCGTGAGACGATGAAGCGGATTGGGATGCAGTTGGTGCAGGATGCGAAGACGGTTATTGCGTCAGGCGAGAAGATTACTGATAGGAAGGATTTGCTGTCGCTCCTCCTGCAGTCGAATATGGCGGAGGATAGTCAGCGGTTGGAGGACGATGTTGTGGTTTCGCGTAAGACACTGTTCTGGGTTGTTATTCGAGACCGACTCATCGTTTTGCAGAACTCCCGACATTCTTCGTTGCCGGTGCGTATTCATTCTTCTTACACTACAATACAAGAAGACTCTTCCTTCCTTTCTGACAGAGGAATATTGAACAGGGCATGAAACAACAAGGTCTGCCTCCGTCTCTCTGTTGATGGCTAGGAGTGAATTTCTCTCTCACAGCACCGCAACCACATGGGCACTCTACGCTCTCGCCCTCCATCCCGAGGTTCAGAAGACCCTCCGTGCGGAGCTGCAGACAATGGGCACCGACAGCCCGTCGCTTGAAGCGCTCAACTCCCTCCCCTACCTCGACCAAGTCGTGCGCGAGGTGATGCGTGTGCACTCGCCGGTAGTGTTCACGAGTCGCATGGCTATGTGCGACGACGTTCTCCCGCTTGAGACGCCTTATACGGATACGCGGGGTGTGGAGCATCGGGATATTTTGTGAGTCCGCATAGTCGTTTTTCCGATTTTCGGCTTTTTTTTTTTGCTTTCGCTGACGTGCAGGTGAATGGTCAATGTAGGATGAATAAAGGCCAGATGATTTATATCCCTGTTGCGGCTCTGAATCTGGATACGCGTATCTGGGGAGCGCATGCGGCGGAGTTCAAGTTTGTATTCTTCGATGAATATCGATAATAGTCAACGCGCTGAACTTGTCTTCCTTACAGGCCCGAGAGATGGGACGCTATACCCGCCGAAGCAAATGCAGTTCCGGGCGTCTGGTCTCACCTATTCAGCTTCCTCGGCGGACCACATAACTGCATTGGGTGGCGGTTCTCTCTAGCTGAGTGCGCCCAATTTTCTTCAAATTCTCTCTTGTGTTTCAGAACGTTCCATCATCTACTTACTCCTCTTTTCCGAAGGTTGAAATCTTTGCTGTACACCTTAATTCGAAACTTTGAGTTCGAGATGGCTGTATCTCCCGAGCAGATTGAAGTGGGCCGTACGGCGGTTCAACGGCCAATGGTGGTCGGTGAGCTGGATAAAGGGACGCAGATGCCGCTTATGTTGCGTAAGCTTTGAACCTTCACTGACTTCAGGGACTGGGATTAGTAGCTCTGTGCTTTTATTACACTATACGTATCTATATATATGCTTACTTTGACTGTTCACGATCTATCTGGCTTTTTCTGATCTTGTTATTATCTAGGTTCTCTGCTTCGATATTTGACTGTCGCGTTATTTGGCAGACTTTGGCCGAGTTTGCATGTCAATAACGCGAACTGTCACGTCACGTCACACTCCCCTCTTGTCCTCTCCCACTTTGTCGCCCTCCTCTCGTTCTCTGTTCTGCTCTTTTATCCTGCCAAACAACACTTAAACGCGCTTTGAACCGCCATGGCACTCTCCCGCGTCATGCGCCTGCCTCTGGAACTTCAATTTGAGACCTGTACGCGACGCCCTTTGGCTCCGCTTCGTAGTCTTCGTTTGCTAACAAAACTATGCTTGGAAGACTATCACCTCGATGTCACGGATTTGCTTGCCGTCAGCCACATCTCACGATACTGGCGCGCTATCGTTCTTGCGGATCGACGATGGAATACATGGTTTGATGTGCTGTTTTGAGGTCTACCGCCGATGTCCACTGCGATAACCTGGAAGCTTCTTCTTCTCCAGATGATCTTAGACCCAAACACCAAACGAACTGCCCGAGAGATCCTGGCTGAGCTTCAAGTCATGGATTCTATACCGAAACGGTGCGTATGCAGACGACGACACAGCAGTGAGATCCCACTCATTCTCATTTCGCTAGCACACTCGTATATCTCTGTTTAAACACCCAATGCTATTATTGCTGCAACGACACCGCTCATTTGTTTCTACCGCTTCTCAAGGTATGCTCTCTACCCTCTTGATTATACTCTGCGTAGGCTAACTGAAATAGAGAATCTGCTGCGAGTGCCTCAGCCCTGAAGATCACTCTGTTACTTCCCTATCCGCCGCGCTCACCAAATACGATCTCCGAGAGAAAGACGCCAAGAGCCTAATCGTTTTGTGCGTGTACATGCATTTCCTCCCTTCGAAGCACTAACGCAGTTTAGGCAAACGCCAAATAAGCAAGTTAAATTGGTGAGTATGCTGGCAGCGAAAGAACTGTAAGCTTTCCCGTACTTTCTCTTCTTCTGCGTCTTGGAAAAGATATATAGCGCAATTCAAAAATTCGGTGGCCAAGACAAACTTGAAAATCACCTCCAAGCTCGCAAAGATCGGTCTCGACAAGCTTACGAATCCCGTCTCTCAGAGTACAACGCAGCCGTCACCGAACGCGAACGGCTAGAAGCCACCGGCGACGCATCCAAAGCCGAAGCATTCAACCTCAAGAGCAAAAAGATCTCGAAGTCACCGCCGCAGATTCCCGCAATCCTGAAAGAACCTTACACAACCCACCGCTATCAAGAAGTTTCCATCATGCACGCCAACTTTCTTGTTATTCAACCCGATAACACTGTGGTCGCTCAATCGCTCGTGTTCTGCGAAATCTGTCTCCTCATCTCCGAAGTCCGACCGATGGATGCGCCGCATCCGAATCTTATGCGACCTTCTTTGTTGCCTGCGCACGAATACGAAATGCACTACGCAAGGATGGCGGATTCGTGTCAAGGGTATACGGATACGGATGGGATATGCGCTGCGTGTTTGAATCGTTATGCGATTGAGTTCAAGCAGGATGAGCTGGATGGATGAATTGGAGGGGGTTGAGGGATCGAGATGATTCGTTGTATGTGCCTTGATGTTAATTATTGATTGTCCGGCTGATCTCATTGCATTGCAAGGATTCGGCTCCAACTTTGCTTCGCTACTTGCGCTCTCTTGTTCGATCTCTCCCTTTGCTGCTCCTGCTTACTGTATCAATGCTCTTCGTCCGAAACTCTGCCCACTGCCCAACGCTTCCTTCCGCTGTATCGACGATATCTCTGCACGCTTTCGCTTCATTCTTAGCTCGAATCCTCTACTCTTCTGTCACCTAGATCTGCTTCCTTCCTCACTTCATCGCACGGACCAAATTGATGCACGCTTCTCTTCGCTCGTCTATTGTAACATCGAATAGCCAACCCTACCTACATACGTGTAACTGAAACTTACTTCAATCAGTCATCGCTGCTATGGAATACTACTACTGCTATGTGATCATACCATGCTTGAAATCCGAAAATATCCCCAAGTCTACTTCAACAAACAACGCCGCCTCTTCTCGTGCACCTTGAGATCGATGCTTCTCCTTCCCCTCGACCCCAGCTCATAACCAGAGGCTTTACATTCGGATATGGTGCAAAGGATAGCGCGAACTCGTGGATTCTCCCCTGGGACGGGTTGAGAGGGTTAGATCGAGGTTCGATTCCTCGTATCCGTCAAGTTTTGTCTAGGTGGGCTCCGTTGACAGTCCTTTTCTGGTCGGGGACACTGGAGTTCTGATTCTAAAGCTCGTATGGCCGATTCAGTAACTCGCTAGTGCAACGAGTGAGACACATTCCATGGACAAATTGAAATTCAACTTCAACTTACGGCATGCTCGGCGATCTCGGCGAGTGGATCGAATTCCTTGCTGTATGGACAAATTGGTGTTTTTGTTTCGCAAATGAACATGCGTGCGGTAACAATAAATATCTCATTTATGTATTGTACAGTTCAAACACAAAGTATAGCTCATTCCACGCCGATGATGAAAGCTTCTGTGACCACTTCGCGGTGTCCTCCATGATCGTGATGTCCATGAGTTGATTCCGAAACCCATCCAATCCGCAAGACAGCCACAACAGTGACAGTAACCTCTTTGGCTTCTTCACAAGCGGTGAATACGTGTGTCGCGGCAAGCGAACCTGTGCGGCGAGTTTTGTCCTGGGGTGTGGTGATCACGTAGGCCTCGCTGACCAGTTTCCGGTTCGTGTATTGAGCGCGGAGTTGTCCGATCAGTTCACCGAATTTCTCGCGAGAGAAGTGGGAGGTGGTGGAGACGTCTCTGCAGAGTATTGAATTAGCTGAGCAAGCTACGTCGGCATGGTGTTTATTCTTACGTCTCTTGAACATGAGGAGACCAAAAATGCGTCAGAGCATCTTGAGAGACTGAGTCGTCTGCGGAGATGAGAAGCTTTCCAAAGGCTTCGTGAATGAGTTCAGGGAGAGTGGAAAGGGAAGTCTGCGCGGACATTATTCCTAGCAAATATTTGATCATCGAATCAGTCAATTCACACGAAGGAAAATACATACCTGGGGTGACTCAATCGCTGGGTTTGCGAGGAGCGGAGCTTTACGTCTACCTTACTTATACCTTCCTGTTGCCGAACGGGGAGATAAACAAGTTCCGTTTTGAGTCGGCGATCGTTGCCTTGAACATGTATTGAACCCTGGAAGACACCGCTGGTCCCCGAATGGTATAGTGAGAGGGCGAAAACTTGATTCTGGGCTCGTCGGGTTTCCGACACCAAACATTCACAAGCGCCTTGTTGTTTTTCTGTCTCAACTCAAACTGCAACCGCTCACAACTGAACTTACGTCATTTATCGGTCAGCTCGGCTATCTCGGCAGCCTCCGAGTCTTATTCTCTTCTTTCCTCATTCTATCTGCGGAATTTCTTCCATTTACAGTAATAGCAGGATCCTGGTCTACTTTTAGGGTGCGGAGTCCCTCCCGGAATTCTTCAAGTTCCGATATTCGGCGGCGTAAGTTGTTGATTCCGAATCTGACGGAAAGTGAAAGGCTAGCGATATCAGTGCATCAGGGTTTTGACAAATCTATTGTGCTGTTGTACAACGCCTAACAACGGCAAAAAACAGCTGACAATACGACAATGCGTTGCATCGACAACACGGATCAGTTTTTTGACAACAAACAGTCTTGGCACCACAAAAGTCGTTGAAAATGTGCTGCTAATGCCACGATACTGAGTGCTGTGGATCTATTCAGCATATTCCTACCTTCCTAAACACGATCGCAGTCGTCAGTGAACGGGGAGGAAGGCAGAATGTAGTAGCTTTTGGCGGGGCGTGTTGTGCGCAACACGACAACGCGTAACAACGGCCACAACACGGCAATCAAATTGTAGATTTGCTGATGTGGAAATTCAGATACCTCTTGACACTCGCACAGAAACTGGATTCTGTCAATTTATCCTCGCCAGTGCCTGCGCATATTGCTTGAGAATCGCGTAAGCCTCCTTTTTCGTAGAACAAATCCAGATATACTAGGTGCGGAGAGATATTCCAACAACCGCTATCGTTTCCATGAAGCTTAAGCGATCGAAGGAACAAATCCGGCCGCAATACACCAACCGGAAAAATGTCAGAGCATGTTTAAATTGATGCGCGTCAGTTGGTGTTGGTGCGCCGGAGTGGAGTATATACCAAGTTCGTATGATTGTAGGATTGAGATAGACGTGCCAAGTTCGTAGGATTTGATGGGAAAATTGCGAGTTTCGTAGGATAGGCTAAGTAATTTAGAATATCAAGTACATGAAGCTGAACTCCTCGGCAAGAATTCGGCACTGTTGGTACCTTTCGCCGTAGTTTGCGCGAAGGGGACCGACCATTCCCGTCCCCTCCCCTCCCTCGCTGCGCTCGGGGGGTCCCCCGAACCGGGGCCGCTCAGGTCGGCACACTAAAGCCACGTTCGCGCGGATCACTCTGTCTTCACCCTAACTCTAACCCGTCGGGGCGGGGTTATTTTGCTGGATTGCCGGAGTTCCGCTTGCCCTAACTCCTCGGCATGAGGGTATTTTGGCCTTCGGCAGTCCCTGTTCCGTGTCGGCACTGTCCTGTACTCCTGATGGCATATGATTCGGCCTCCGGCAATTCTATAATTCAGGTGGGCTCTTTGTCTTTGTTCCATGTGGTAGTGGTGCCCAGTATGGCAAAGGATGCTGTAATATAAGGCAATCCTACGAACTTTCTAGCATACTCATCATATCCTACGAACTTGGCACGCTGATCACAATCAAACAATCCTACGAACCTGGCTGGGGCTCGCCGGAGTGTATCTCACCCAATACTTGCTCAAATTTCTTGATTTTTTTTTTACGTAGGCGTTGAGCTGAAAGTCGTAGCTTTCATTTGCGCTACTTCCGGGATAAAACCGAAGAAAATTGAGCTCAAGCGAGCGCATTTTGCTATTCTAGTCCATTACCAGTCCTCGCCGCCGCAATCACCGCCGTTGTGCTCACTAAGTTCAACGATAGTAAGTCACAACTGGGATTACTTGGGGCAGCACATGTGTTGCAAGGTGATCGGGATTCAGGGCTCTCGGCCGAAGTGCCCGAGAGATGCCGTAAGTTCAACTTTGGCCGTACGTTTGGTCGTTTGTTAAACTTTCCGTAGGAGAAAAAATCATGCTAACCTTTGATTAAACGCGGAGCAGAACCTCTTGCCCAATGCTATGATAAGCACAAAACACCTCAAGAATATCATGAATTTCGCGGGCTTTGGTGAACAAGAACAACAACATCCCTCCGACGGACCATGGTTCCTGACATGGCATCTTTTGTCGCAGGTCGGGTTTTCTTCGCAACGGAGAAATTGATCAGCACATCCGAGGCAGAGCCAGTTTCAGTGTTGCGAACTCATCACTATCAAACTTCAACAAATAGGCACAACAGGTTCGTCAACATCTTAGCGTTGATAACAAAGAAACTTGCTTGAAACTAGTTTCAAGCTCAACACATTGTTCATGATTTTGGGATCATGATGTGTAGTTAGCAGTGGCAATGATGAGATCGAAATCATCTCTTGTTTTTTTGCGGGATGACTCTTGACAAGCATACGAAATCAGCATGCACGCGGTCAGTCTTTGCCGCTGCCTGGTTAGGGCTGTATTTCTTCGACGTACAAGCTTGTGATGAACTTCCGCACCTGGTTACAGTCGACGCCGGACCCCGAAGTACCGGTTCACCGTAGCCATTCTTAGCCTTGATGTTCCCACTCTCCCGAATTGTCCAAACAATCCACGTATGTTAGCTGTGAAGCAATGGTGAGGCTCAAAGATCCTGTGGATCGCTTTTCTTGCTTAAATTGACGGCGTTATCGGATGGAGACCTCGTTATCAGCCGTCATTCAACTCGCCATTTCGACTCGCTATAGCCAATCTGTTACGAAATCTTTCATGCAAGTATAATAAGTATTCTATGCACGATAACGACCACACTCATTCCGGACGACATTTTCAACCATATTTATTCAACGACACGAACGACTCATACCTTGTTATGAACCCACACCCTTCCTCCTTGGGCGAGAAAGGCATGGACGTAGGAATGGCTGGAAGCGCTGATGAAGCTGCGTCCTCCGAGTCGACAGGTGTGTCTTCGTTCAACCCTGAAAGTCGTGGATATCCACTGAATGTATTGGCAGAAGGGTTCCGAGGCTACTTTATCCCGCCCGACACTCACGTTTCTTTCGCTGCCCCTTCTGAGGAGGAGATGCTGTGGAGCCTGGAATCCAATGCTGTCGGCATTCATCATAGTCAACAGAATGACACCAGCCTTTTCAACAGCTCTGGACAGCAGTGGAATTGGGACCGAGGCATACCTTCCACGATCCCCTCTACTTCAACTGCATCATCAATGGCTCTTCCTACCCCTCCAATGCTTGGCTATCACATTCCCCTGCCCGATATCGGAATCAGCAGTAACCACCGTCGTAGTCAATCGAACGACACTCACCGTCGTCGTTCTTGGTCGCCGCCTACTCCAATGATTGGGAGGCACTGTCGCTGGTATTCCGCCAGCGATACTCATTCGAAGCCTGAGGGTCGAACCTCAGCTCAACAATCGCAATTCCGACCCAATACGCCACCAGAATTCAGTGGATATGGATGGGGTTCACAATCCTCCGCTTCGGGGACGTATGACAGTGAAACAGAGGGCGGTTTCATGGGCGCTAGTCCAAGCGTTTCCCCGGAGGTGGGCATTGTGCACCTCCCAGAGGAAACTGACTACCACGCACCACACGGTGGGGGTATCGAGAAGCCAAGAGTCACCAGCACTCGTACGAGGGAAGCCTCCGAACAGAGACGCAAGAAACCTGCGAAGTACGCGTGCCCAATATCTGGGTGCAAGAGTACCTTCACAAGGCGCATCAACTTGACGGGGCACATACGCGCGCATAAGAATGAGCGCCCGTTTGTCTGTCATTGGGGAGGGTGCGGAAGACGGTTCGCGCGGTTACATGATTGTCGGAGACATGAGCAGCTGCATGCTGAGGAGCCTTCCTTTGGGTGTGATGGGTGCGGGAAGAAGTTCGCGCGCTTGGACGCGCTGAGTCGGCATTGTGAGTAGACTCGACTCGGAATATTCGAACTAAGCTGCTTACTTTATTTCGACTTTTAGTGCAATCGAAAGGAGGCGAAGAATGCAAGAGAAAAGTGGA